AACCAAGAACAAAACCAAGCATCAAAGATTTTTTATACCCCACTTTTTTTTGCATCACTTAGGTAAGCATCATAAAGTTTAGAGAGTTTCTTTTGAGCACCAAAAGCCACCGTAGTTCTGATGGTTGAAAAAGCTTCTTCAGCGATTTTTCCAGCAAGAGAATAGAAGCCTGAACTTCTTTTTGTAAAAATCGCGCCATATTTATTCATTAATTTATTAATAATAACAATAAAAAAGATAAGGTAGCTTATCACTAGTGTCAATTTCCAACTTATAATAAACGCAATAATGAATGCTGCGATGGATTGTATAATATACTAAAAAAGCAAGTAAAAATGAAACATTATACAAAAATGATAGTAAAAAGAAAATCAACAAATCAAATAAATAAGCTAATAAATTAATAAATAAAAATAAAAATACAATTTTATATATACATAAGCTTACTTGAAAAGAGAGAGAAACTTTTTCACTGATACCAGCTTGTATCAAATGTATATCAGAAGTAATGCGAGTAGAAACTTCACCTGAGCCGTATTTGTCAAAATAAGCTATGTTTTGCCTAAGAACTGCGCGAAGGTATTGTTCACGGATTTGCCTTGTTATTCTGAAAATAACGACGATCACGTAACGAAATTAGTATTATTTTTAAACGCACAAATTTGATGTTAAGATTGTATAAAAAAAAATAAAAATCACTTTTCACCAGTATATACCCAAGTAGCTATAGATATATACGTAGCAACGAAAGTGGCAATGGCGGCGCATGCAAGAATTACTGAAAGGCGATTTACATCTTCAGTAAAATCATCAATGCTTATAGTGTGATTTTGAAAACGGGTATAATCATCGGCTATTAATCCGAGGAAGGTCGTCATTATAGGCTACCGAATTTATATTGAATGTCATAAATTGAGAATTTTTGAAATATAAACTGCGTAAAGAGAAGTATACATACCATGATGACTCCTACGGCCGCTGAAAACACCAATCCAATAAACATTATTACCCAGTCAAGTTTTGTAGCAAATCGATATAAAGTTATATATGATTCTTTTCTTTCAGAAACATCAATCTGATCCTTTAAAATTTGTTCTTCTGCTGAATCAAGCCTTATGCCAGATGATTCTTCAATTGGTATCGCTGTATTTATTTCAGTCATATTTAATATATATATTAAGAATTATGATTTTTTTTTTAAAAAAAAATTATAAGATTTCTTTTCAAAGTAGCTAAAATAGTTACTTCAGTTGAGACTTATGGATATTTATACTATATTAATATATGTTATATTTATTAAATTATATTATTTCGAAGTTCTTTTTAAAATAGCTAAAAAGTTATTTTAAATTGCGATTCGAGGAAATTTATAACTTTATGTTATATATGATAGCCATTTTAGAATTCTGGCAATCACTTAAAGAAGATACATTTATATTGGAATTTTATAACTCCTATGTTAAATTATTTTCTATTATTAAATCTTGAAAATAATGATTCGAATCAAGTTGATCAAAAATAGACTATATATACGGTTGTTGTTCAATTCCCGAAAGCTAATGCAAAAATGCTATTTCATCAACAACCCATTTTTTCGATAAGACATATTCGACATTACATATTTTTGACAATAATTTTCTTAGATAAGACATTTCCCCGATAATCATTTCTTCGACATAAAATTAACCCGATTTAGCCTGATTTAAATTACGTATGAATAAAAATTCCAGTTTTCATAATTTTTATTATGCATAAAAAAATTTTGAACCAAATATATACAAGATATGAAAAGACTATTGAGATTAAACGTGATATTTTAAACAATAATCGTAAAATTTCTTATGAGTTACTTATCAGTTATTTGTCATAATTTACTTTATGCGTCCTTAGATAATTTACGAGCTCTTATAGTTTTCATAGACCATCACA